GTGGTCAAACTTTACTTATGAATGAAAATCAAAATATAATTGATAATATAATATTTACACGATTATATATATATATATATATATATATATATATATATATATATATATATATATATTTATTTATATATATATATATATATATATATATATATATATATATATATATATATATATATATATATATATATATATATATATATATATATATATATATATATATATATATATATATATATATATATATATATATTATTTCTCTGGTTTGAAAACAATTTTGACTTTCTTATGTTGATTTTGATAACTTTTTAATTCTCATTTAAAAAAAATAAATTTCTGGTTCTCTAGTATTATGTTTCATATTTTTTTGGTGGCCTTCATTCATATGTCAAACTCGTTTGTAGAGGTGGCATTGGAACTTATGCGTCAAGAAGTTTTTTATTTGGTCACATATTAAAAATGTCGCCACATCATTAAAATAAAAAACACTTATTTAATTAAGACATATTTTCAAATTAACATTTTAATATGTGATTAAAAATTAAAAATAAATAATTTATTAAAGAGTTGAGAATGTTAATAGTCATTTCTTCTTCGTTCAGCTTCTTGACCTAAACGATTTTGCTATGAAATTTGAAACCCTAAGGTGATTGTCATCACCTTCTTCATTATGGTTCAAACAATAATCTTCGTTCTACTTCACACTTGCTCTTCTTCAAATAATAATATTCGTTAATCTCCATTCTGCTTCGTATTTACCCGGTGTTCGTCGCTCATTCCTAATTTTTATGCTCAGGAAAGTCAAGTTTTTTGGAAATGAACATTCCAATATCATTGAAAAGCAAAAACATGTCAAATTATGTCTTACGTATCTGCTTTAGCGTCCCCTTTTTAGAAACCTAAGTTAATGGGTTCATGGTTTAGCTGACTTGTGGTTCCATTGTCGTGAAATACAGTTTCGTTTCCCCAAATGGTTCAACGTGAAATATGGTCCATTTCCCCATAATTGTTTAATTTGAAATGTGGTCATTTCCCCCCCAATTGTTTAATATGAAATGTGATCCATATTCCCCCAATCGTTTAATCTCAAATATGTTTCCTAGTATGTAACTTGATATGTGTATTATAATTGTTATCTGGGCCAGCTAAAAGCCATATTATTAGGTTAAGAATACACCAGAGTGATGAACTTGTACAAACCATTGTTAAATGGTATGAGGATGAGGAAGTATCAGAAATGAATTGAAAGTGGGATGTTGATTATATGTCTTATATGCTGTTAGAGTCATGGATTTATAAAGAGAAATATACAAATGTGAAGTGTATGTGGTATTAAAACCATATGTTAAAATTTTTTAGAAGACTTAGACCCCTAAACTGTGATGCTAATGTGCTGAAATTCATTGAAGACGTTAATGTAGTTGAGTTGGTTGATGTATACGTGGAGTATTATTGAATCAGTAGATAGACGAGGTGTGAAATTGTCACCTAACTATACATATAGAGCTAAAAAAAATAGAAATATAATTGATACAAGGTGTTGGAAGGGACCAATTCATCATTTAAGGAGTTATGCACAAAAGTTATTGAAGTTAAACCGTATGAGTAATATTGTGCTACAATGCTCTGTCTCTACTTCTGGTCCTATGTTTGAAAGGATTTCTATTTTTTTATGGGCATGCAAATCTAGATTTGAAAGCACTTGTAGACCATTTATAAGGCTCAATGCATGTTTTTTTAAAGGAGATTATGGGGAAAAATTGATGGTTGTTGTTGGTAGAGATGGAAATAATCAAATATTTTCAATTGCATATGCTGTTGTAAAGCTCAAGACAAAATATTATTGGGAGTGATTTATAAACCTTATAAATGATGACTTATAAGACATAAATCAAAGGTCTTATGCTTTCATATCTGATCAACAAAAGGTAGTCTATTATCATTTGTTTTTTTTTTAATGTTTTTTGATAGCACATTCATAACATATTTATATTCATGTGTAACTGTGTAACATAGACTGGTCCCAACTATTCAAAGTGTGAGTGCTCATATGGAACAACTCTTTTATGTGAAACACCTATATGGAAATTGGAAAAAGAAGTATTCTGGGATGGAATTGAAAGAAAATATGTGGAGTGAAACAAGGATTACAAAAATTCCTTCCTGGGAGAGGGAAATTTTAAATATGAAAGTATTGGCCCATCAAAATTTTGGAGTAAGTCACACTTCAACACTTATTCTAAGTGTGACCTACAGGTAAATAATATGTGTGAGACATTTAACAGGAAAATATTAGAACACATAGACAAACCTATAATCACTTTATTTGAATGAATTAAACATTATCTGACTAAAATGATACTAATCAAAAGAAACTGATGAATAAATATGTTGGAGAAAGTTGCCCTAGGATTAATTGGTACTTGAAAAAAAACAAGAAAGTTATATAAGGATGGACTCCTACATGACATGGTGATGATGAATTGTCCATATCTGGAGTAACAAATGACATTGAAATCTAATGTGCTAATCTAAAATAGGAAACTTATGCATGCAGGAAATGATACTTGTCTGGGATCCCTTGTTGCCATGCTATAACATGTATTTAGAAAAACAAGAAACAACTAGAGGACTACGTGTTTGTTTATTATAGGTTTGTGCTATGTGTTTATTTTAGGCTTGTTTTATGCTAACCAAATTGTTAATCTTATGTTGTATCTGTGTGTAGGAAAGCCACGTTTTAGAAGACTTATTCACATATCATATGCCCAACTAATTGACCACAACTTTGGCCTTTACATGATCAATTACCAGTGCATCCATCATTGATGAGAATGGAAATCAGACGTCCCAAAAAGCTGAGGAACAAGACCAACGATGAGCCAAGAAACCCACGCGTGTACCAAGAAGACTTATAATTATTACATGTCATAAGTGTTGAGCCATGAAACAACATGAGGAGTTATAAGGGAAAAACAACTGCTGATAGAGCTATACAAAAAGGTGGAAACCAGACCAATAATTTTAAGACAAAGACAAACTCTAATGGAAACAAGACCAAGAAAACATAGACTAAGAAGACAAAGACCAATAAGACAAACATTGTAACTCGAATTGGTTCTTCATTACAAACACCAATTCATACACAACCAACTCAAGAATAATTTTAAGATGTTGAAGTACTTTTTGTAATGTTTGTAATGTCTATCATGAAATAGTTTACGTCATGCCTTAGTTTATTTTGATATGTCTATGAACAAGGTTATTATGCATGTTTTTGTCATGCACTGCAATTTGTAATAAACAAGTTTTGTCATACTTCTTATGTTAATGCAATGTTATTTTGGTACTTGATATTACTTTTGTATGTTACTGTCATTTGGTACAACCTAATGTTGGTTAAAAACTGATATGTAATACAAATTGAATATTATTAATTAAACAAAAGCCATTGGCATTAACATCATAATTTTTGCAGCAAACTGTCATACAACAAAGAACTAATCCAACATTACACAGAACTTGTAAAAATGGTCATAATTTAACATCTTCATTTAACATTTAAATGTTACAAACTGTCACAATTTTGCATTACATTACATTACACGTAATCCAACTCCAATTAACTACTTCATTACATTACACATAACTAATCCAATTAGCAATACAAAAGTGATGGATACACTAGATTTCATCATCATTTTCATAAGCTTCATCTTAATCTTCATTTCCTTTTTCTTTCTTTCTTGGTATCATTCATTTTCACTTTTTGTTCACTTAATTTATAGTGTAGAGAAGAGAAAACATCTTTGGCTCTAATATGTCATCAATGGAGATTCCGTACCACACATGCACTCATCCTGAAATGAACGCAAAGACTTCCTGTAACTAAATTTGGAGCATTGAGGCATGACGACTAGTGATTGTGTAGTTCAAATTGACGGAAAACGTTAACGTTTTGAGAGAAATCGAAGAATTTTGTTAGGGTTTCATAAAGTGGATGGAAAAGAACTCAAATGATGAAGAAGACTGACTTTCACATTTTGGTTCTATTAATAATTTTTTTTTTTTTAAATTTTACATGATTTATTTTTATTTAAATTAACTTCATACTTAATACAAATAAATTCATTGGATTTTAATTAAGTGGCAAAATTACAAACTTGCCAACTCATAAGTTCCAATGCCACTTTGCAATATGTGAAGGAGGAACACTAAAAAAAAACATGAAATCTACAAGATTAATTAAAAAGCTGATTTTTTTAGAATTTAAAAATTATCAAAATCAGTTTTATACTGCATTTAAATCTATTTTACATGTTTTATACACCATAGATTACATAAGTTTCATGATAAAAACAATTAATACTATAAATAAGGAAATGAAAATTAAAAATAAAGTGTTTAGTTAGTTAGTTAATAAAAATCAACGAATGGAATGCAAAAGAATAGAAAAAAAGAGTTCCACTGAATGAATTGCATTGAATTGAACCCGCGCTCTTACACTCTCTTTCTCTTTTTGTTTTCGCACACTTCGCCTCCGGAAATGGTGTTCTTCCAGTGATTCACATCACTCTGACTTCTTTCCATTTTCTTTCGTTCTCTCTATCTCCGATCAATCTTCTTGATTTCTTCTTCTTTTTTCGCACATCAGTTTTCTTTTAATTTTCCATTCACATTCATTCATCACAACGATTCCTCCATGATCGACGAACGACGATTGCGCACACTGTGCACCACGCACGAGACTTCGCTCCTCCATCACCCAAATTCCACTTCCGCATTTTGATTCTTTGATTTTTCGCGCCAAAATTCAGGTACACTGATTAATCCTGAAATCGATTAATCTAAGTTCTTCTTCTTAATCGATTCATAAATTTTGAATTATCAATTAATTTGTCTTCAACAACCGTTCTCTCTGTGATTCTAAACCGTTTACTAATAGCTTCGTTGTTTGATTTGATGGATGAATGAATGCAGATTATAAGGTGAAGTATTAAAAAATGTCGACTCATAGTAGTAGTAATGTGGATTCGCCGAAAGCAGCACAATCGATGCAGATGAGGAGGGCGCCATCGAGAGGCGCGGCGACGACATTCTCGTTGGAGGTATTCGATGACGAAGTCGTGCCTTCTTCACTCGCTTCCATCTCTCCGATTCTCAGAGTCGCCAACGAGATCGAATTAGAGCGTCCTAGAGTTGCCTATCTATGTATGTATATGTGTATTCATGAATTAACCGTTTGATTTAAGGCTTGAGATTTTATGTATTATTTCTGAGATGTAACTGTTTTTGTGAAAATGAAATTATGCAGGTAGGTTTTATGCATTCGAGAAAGCGCACAGGCTGGATCAAAGTTCCACCGGGCGTGGTGTTAGGCAGTTTAAGACGTTGTTGCTGCAACGATTGGAGAGGGTAGGTTTCGGTTTGTTTCTTCCTTTCTCTTTTTTAATTTCAAACTGGTTTTTATGTATAGAGAGAGGCAGCATTTTAGAATGTGATGGTGGGGGGAAGGAATGTTTGATTTAATTAATAACTGATTTACCATCAAGCTCGATAAGGTAATTAATGAAAGGAATGTACTAGTTCTGTTCTGTTCTGTTCATGCAGAGAAAGAAAATATGACGAGAAAGAAATAGAATAAGATGTTGAATAAGTGTTTAGGAATTAGAGATACAAACATCATTACTTTTAGTTTTATAAAAGATGATTGAGAGAGAAACTAGACAATGAGAATGAGATGTGGCTAGAGACCCTTAATTTTCTAATAGTAATATTATTCTATCTTTGATACATTAGTATTAATAATTAATATGACTAATATTACAATTGAGAAAATAATAATGGTATAAAATTATCAATATGTACATAGACTTTCTTTACACATTAAATTTTATTACAATTTTAAATTAGACTATTTATTGATAAGATTCCTATGTTTTGATGCTTTAGGTTAATTTGTTGTTTATGGTGTTGGTCTTGATTTAGCCCATTACATTTTAATTTTTTTTATAAACAAAAATATACAAATTAAAATTTTAAATATTTAATTTTGATTCAACAATCATAACTAAATTAATTATATATATAACAATGACATGATTATGTTGTTGTTGTTACATGAAGGACTGGTATCTCAATTTGAAACTTTTATTAATGTGTATTTTTTAAAATAGTCAATTTCAAACTTTTATTAATGTGTATTTTTTAAAATAGACGGAAGGAATATTTTTTCATTTTTTGGGTGCGATTAAGACAGCGCAACATATTTTTCTTCTTGATTTTATTTTTGAAGGCGCATTTTTTTCTTTTCCGTTTTGGCGTCTTCCCTTCGAAGCATTTCCCTCTCCCCGTTTCCCTGCATTACTCCCATACCACATTCACATCAGAAATTGATTTCAATTCTCAATGCCTTGCTTCGTCTTCCTACAACGATGGTTGCAGGAACTCTATTGGGTTCTTCGAAAATTCTTATTATAGCAGATAGGGATAGGGGAGCAGATTACGAAATTATTTGCTCTCTTGCTATCAACTGATATTATTATAGTCAAGGAAAATATAAGCAAAATGTAATTTGCGGGGAAGTATTTACTTTTTCTTGATTTTTTAAATTTTATTTTCATTTTTCAAATTTGGAAAGTGAGTTTGTAAAAAGTAGCAGTATCGATTAATTAGTATGCATGGTTAAACTTGCATAATTTGTGGAAAATCAGGACAATGCAACTAGTCTCGCTTCTCGGGTTAAGAAGACAGATGCAAGGGAAATCCAGACTTATTATCAACAATACTATCAACAATATGTCAGAGCTCTTGACCAAGCGGATCAAGCAGACAGGTATATACTAAATACTTCTCCTCTCTAATTTCCTTTTAGAGTTGTTAGGAATTAGGATACTGTGTTACATTGAAATTCTTTTACAGGACCCAGCTCAGCAAAGCTTACCAGACTGCTGGTGTGCTCTTTGAAGTGCTTTGTGCTGTTAATAAGACTGAGAAGGTCGAAGAAGTAGCTCCTGAGGTTAGTCTATTCATGTCCTTTCACTTTTTATTTTTACATTTGATATTTTAACCTTTCCTTTAGTCTAATCTGGAGGCATTGTTTGTGTTTGTAGATTATGGCAGCTGCTAAAGATGTTCAGGAAAAGACGGAAATTTATACACCTTATAATATTCTTCCTCTGGATTCTGCTGGTGCTTCTCTGCCCATTATGCAGTTTGAAGAGGTGTTCTTGAGTGACTAATGTTGAATCTTTGTGTTTTTTTAAACATGATATAGCACTGAGTTTGAACTGCTTTCTTATACTATTAGATTAGGGCTGCTGTTTCTGCGCTCTGGAACACTCGTGGCTTGAACTGGCCTAGCTCATTTGAGCAATCGAGGCAGAGAGGTGGAGATTTAGACATGCTTGATTGGCTTAGAGCAATGTTTGGTTTCCAGGCATGTATTTTGCACACAGAATATGGGAGGAAAAAGATTTGTTATTGACCAAATTTTTGCATGCCCCCCTTCAATTGTTAATGTATTTGATTTATTTGAGCACAGAAGGACAATGTGAGGAATCAAAGAGAACATTTGATTCTGCTTCTTGCTAACTCGCATATAAGGCTACACCCAAAACCCGAGCCTTTTAACAAGGTACATATCTGTTTCCCACTTTCTTTGTTTCAGGAAAAAACAAAGCTGAAACTATAATCAAAAGAATTCTAGTCGGTAATGGAATTCACCTGTTTATTTTCACTGCTTTCTTTGTGACTTTATTACTCCAGCTCGATGATCGTGCTGTTGATTCTGTGATGAAAGAACTCTTTAAGAATTACAGAACATGGTGCAAATTCTTGGGACGAAAGCATAGTCTGCGGTGAGATATAACAATATCAGTGAACATTTTGCTTTTATATTTTTCCTTTAGAATTTAATGAATAAAACCTGAAATTTTTTATGGTAAAAAGTGCTTATGATGCTCTTTTAAACAGACTACCTCAAGGTCAACCAGACATACAGCAGAGGAAGTTGCTTTATATGGGCTTATATCTTCTCATTTGGGGTGAAGCATCCAATGTTCGCTTCATGCCAGAGTGTCTATGCTACATATTTCACAATGTGAGTACAAATATACCATCCGTTTCACAATATCTTATGCCATAATATCTGTACAATTGTAATATTTTGTCTTCTTTAATATCTATAAATCTGTTAGTGATTTGTGCCTTTGCTAACAATGGCCAAGTATGACATCAGATGGCATATGAACTGCATGGTTTATTGGCTGGAAATGTTAGCATTGTCACTGGTGAAAATATCAAGCCTTCTTATGGTGGAGATGATGAGGCATTCCTACGAAAGGTTATCACACCCCTATACCGAGTAATTGAAAAGGTGTGAATTTTTCTCTCAGGGACATTGTTGTAATTTCTCAAGCGCCTATGTTCCCTGTCATGACTTGCAAAATTGTAATAACCCTGTTTTGATCAATCCAGGAAGCTAAGAAGAGCAAACATGGAAAGGCTTCACACTCAGCATGGTGCAACTATGATGATCTAAATGAGTATTTCTGGTTTGTTTTCCTTCAGGATTTTATTACTGAAACTGATTTGGTTTGTTTCATCATTCATTACTTGCCTATTTTTTTGTTGTTGTTGCAGGTCACTTGATTGCTTTTCTCTTGGATGGCCCATGCGTGATGATGGCGATTTTTTTAAATCCACTAATGATTTGAAACAGGTTATATTTTAAGAAGTTACTGGACTGATTCTAAAATCCTTTAGTTTTAGTACTTATATAAATTCCATATCAGGGAAAAAAGGGTGCGCCAATAAAACCCAGGAGACTTGGAAAATCAAATTTTGTTGAAACACGGTCATTTTGGCACATCTTCCGCAGTTTTGATCGTCTTTGGACCTTTTTTTTGCTGGGTTTGCAGGTATTTGTGTAATAAAAGAAATGCTTAAGTCGATATTTCCCCTTATTGTGGTTATGACAAGTCTTGAGAATTCTAATTACAGGTGATGTTCATTATTGCATGGGATGGGATTTCACTGATGGATATCTTTCAGAAGAATGTTATGTATAAACTGTCTAGTATATTCATCACAGCAGCCATTCTGCGATTACTTCAAAGTATGAAATATTTACTAAAGTGCTCTTGTTATACTTATCAGAGTCACTCAGAACAAATTTTTTATGTTGACGGTCTGATATGCTATGTGTTAGAAGGTTGACATTTAATTTGCTAGAATTTCATAAGTCAGATGAGAAGCAGGATTAGCACTAAATTATATTTTAATGGCCAACAAGTTCCAATGGAATTTGAGTGTTACCAGAGTTCTTTCTCATCTTCTGTTCACTGTTGCCGTTTGATGCATATGATTTGTTCCTAACACATTGTTTCTATTAATTTTCAAGTACTTTTATTAAGAAAATATATTTTTTTGAGGACAATTTATATAAGATCAATCAGCTTTTGACCTTAAGGACTTACCTGCCATGTATTATTTGGTGATCAATCAATTAATGCCCAAAGGTTTTGAAATGAAAATTTTTAGCATTATTTTTTTTACTCTTGTTGATCCGTTTTCCAAATTCGAATCTTGCTACAACTTATAATGTTTCTAGATAAACAGTAAGGAAAGGATATTGTTTTCTATAATATTTCACCTTTTCTTTTTTGTGTTATTGAAGTATGTATATATTAGTACTGTCCTGTTTTTTCTCTCATGTTTGTTCCTATATACTTGCTTTAATTTCTGTTCCTCTTTTAATGATTTAGGTATATTGGACCTGGTCCTAAACTTTCCAGGCTATCATCGATGGAAATTCACCGATGTGCTAAGAAATATTCTTAAAGTCATTATCGGTTCTATATGGGTTATCATTCTTCCAATTTTCTATGTCACTTCTTTCAAGGGTGCACCTCAGGGTCTCAAGGAATTGCTTTCTTTTTTCAAGCAAATAAAAGGCATTCCGGCAATGTACATGCTGGCAGTTGCATTGTATATGCTACCAAATTTATTAGCAGCTGCTCTCTTTCTTTTCCCAATGCTAAGGCGTTGGATTGAAAACTCAGACTGGCACATAGTTAGATTCTTCTTATGGTGGTCTCAGGTAGTCATGTTTTCTGTTCTCTTAAATATTAAGTGTTTCTCTTTATTGTTTAAATTGAAATATTCTGTTGATGATAAGTGGTTTTCAACGGAATTGATTGTTATGTTGGAAGTAGTGCTAATTGGCACGGGGGGGAACAATTTTTAAGTTTTTTTTTTGTTTAAATGGAAGTAAAAGATATGATATCTGTCATGTTAAGAGCATATAGCTAAAATATTAATAAGGACTTTTGTAGCAAGAACAATCCTTGACGAATGGTTAATATGTATTGGCATACATATACTTACTTACACACACAAATTTTGTATTTAGTTGTTATATTACATTAGTTATTATTTTTATCATTGACTAAAAAACAGTTTTGGATTTATATAAAATTTTACGGCTACGATTTACTTAGTAGGAACTTTCAATCCAATGATCGATTTAGTGAAAATGTCAATAAATAAAAGGTCATTAAATGAATTTATTTAAAGCATTATTATTACACCTCTGCTCTGATAATTTACTGTGCATGGTCAAAGGTTTTCTTCCACTTGCTTAGGAACCCATTTTAAGGAACTTTTTGCGGAAACAAATATAGTTGATCAGTTTCCGTAAAATTTCTTAATATTATCCGTGATAAATCTTTCTGCTATGGTACCTCTTGATGAAAATGCTTAATTTGGAACTTTATGCTCTAAATTACAGTTTTCCCATAAAATTGATTATTCATTAACAATCATGATATCATGGTTTTTTACATTCATGACAACAACATGTACGGTCCTCCAAAGACTCTGATTTGTTGGACTAAATTTTGCCTCAAGCCATTTTTTTCCTCCATATATTTTTGAATGTGGCAATGATGAGTTATTAACAGTTTGTCTTTTAAAAACCTCTGTTTGCTGAAAAATGTATACTTTTTTCTCTTTCAATGATTTGGGTCTCTTGAGTATCACTCATCCATTGACTAACATATCATTTCTCTTCATGCAGCCAAGAATATATATTGGAAGAGGAATGCATGAAAGTCAATTTGTTCTCCTAAAGTAGGATTCACACAACACACTGTTGCTAAAGTAGCTTATACTAGTTTGTCCTTGTTGTAATGATAAGTGTTCCATCATCAATATTCTTTTATGAATTTCAGGTATACTATTTTCTGGGTGTTGCTTTTGGCTTCAAAGTTTTTATTCAGCTTTTATGTTCAGGTAAATATTATAAATGCAATCATTCTTACTTGCATAACAAGCTAGCCTTGTGAAGTTGTTGGGCATTTAAGTATTGCATTTAAGTATTGCATTTATTCTTGTTTTCAGATAAAGCCTCTAGTTAAGTATTGCATTTATTTACTCTTTTTAAGTATTGCATTTATTTTCAGATAAAGCCTCTAGTTAAGCCAACCAAGGACATAATGAACATTCAACATGTTGACTATGCTTGGCATGAGTTTTTCCCCAAGGGTAATTTCTTCTTGTTTTTATTGAAGACTTTGCAACTCGTGATTATTGATCTAATATTTTCCACTCTGCAGCTGAAAGCAACTATTGTGCTGTTGCTGCACTCTGGGCTCCTGTACTTATGGTTTGTATGTTATTTATCCTGGTTATGGTTACATATATTAATCTTTTCACTTGTTCAGATAAATCAGTATGTCATGTCATTTTCAATACAGGTTTATTTCATGGACACTCAAATTTGGTATGCAATCTTCTCAACTTTGTACGGTGGCCTTGTTGGAGCCTTTGATCGTCTAGGAGAGGTCCTCACCAGTTTTATCTTGTTTTAAATTAATTTGATATTGATTATCTTGTATTTTTCTTTTAAAAACTTTTGTCAAACATACACACGAACAGAAACTCAAACATTGAATTAAAAAATTAAATTTATAGGACTCATTTGGATACAAAGTGTTGGACCATCGTTTGCTTATATTTTTATGAAATTATGAAATCCTCAAATTTTAAAGAATCTTGGACTTTGCTTGTCATTTTTCAGGGGAACATCAGATGGACTGAATTATGAATTAAGAAAACAAATACTTCATTTTACAATTGTGTAACATTCAGTTATCTATTTGCTTGTACAGATACGCACTCTGGGCATGCTGAGGTCAAGGTTTCTGTCAATTCCTGGTGTATTCAACACATGCTTGGTTCCTTCTAATAAGAAAAAAGGAAGATTCTCATTCTCAAAACAATTTTCTGAGGTTCTTGCTACCACATTTTCATTGCTACGTATATTAAGATAAATATTTAATCATCTTCATTTTAGTTTCCATGCTTGTGTAGAATTCTGCAAGCAGAAGAAATGAAGCTGCCAAATTTGCCCAGTTATGGAATGAAATTATTTGCAGTTTTCGTGAGGAAGATCTCATAAGTGATAGGAAAGACCTCAGAGACAAACTCTTAGAATTTTTTCCCTTTGTTCTCAATCATAGTTTCTAGTCTTCCTCCTCTGTTTTGATCCTATCTAAACCCTGTTTAGGACTAAACTATGTTCGCATGACTTCAGGGAGATGGATCTTTTGCTGGTTCCTTACACATTGGGTCCTGATCTCAAAATAATTCAGTGGCCACCATTTTTGCTTGCAAGCAAGGTCAGTGAGATTAAATTTTAATATTATGCTTATCAGTGGATCATACGATGACCGTATCAACCTTTACAGATTCCTGTGGCGCTGGATATGGCAACTCAATTTCGAGGGAGGGACTCTGATCTTTGGAGGCGCATATGTGCAGATGAATATATGAAATGTGCTGTGATTGAATGCTATGAATCTTTTAAACAAATTCTACATGATTTAGTGGTAGGAGAAACTGAAAAAAGGTATATCATTTTGGCATGTGTCAATTTTACTTTACACTTCATGCTAAAAACTTTTAGGATTCGAAATAGTAGCAACCATTTTATGTGGTGCAAATTAGACACTGTTCCAATAGTACTATCCTTCTTAGATCTGTATTTGTAAGAAGACAGATCTTGCAGTCTATCAGTTTTCATGAATAGCAATTACACTATTTTTTTCTTCCATTTTTAATATATGTATACTTTAAATCTCCTTCTGGGTTATTTCACAACATGAAGTAAATAAATAAAGAGGACTAAATGGTTAACTTGCCTAATCAATATTAGTTTGACCCACACTAATTCAAAATTTTACACTGCATTGCAAAGATCATTAAATATTTCTTATTTGCTATATGCTATTTTTCCTAAATGGAACTTATAATTGAAGCTATAAATTTAAATAAAATTGAGTCATTATCAGTACTTCTGAACTCGTTATGATGGACCAGGATAATTTCCATCATTGTTAAAGAAGTTGAGAGCAACATGTCAAAGAATACACTTACCATAAATTTCCGGATGGGCTTTTTACCCTCACTTTGCAAGAAGTTTGTGGAGCTTGTGGAACTCTTAGTGAGTCTTCAGAAGAAAACTAGCTATATCTGTAGTTTGTATTCTTGACTAGTTCTTGCCTTTAACCATTCCATTTGGAAACTTGAGCTTTCCTTTTTGTCTCAGAAAGATGCAGATCCATCCAAAGGAGGAAGAGTGGTGGTCTTGCTTCAAGACATGTTAGAAGTGGTAACTGATATGGTGGTGAATGAAATCAGGTTAGTTTGACATAGCGACACTGAACTTGGAATATATTATATATTAATATGATAGCCTGGATGGATCTTTGTTTGAAGATAATAATGGTTGCCTTTTCTTGTCACGTTCATCAGTGAATTGGCTGAACTTAATCAAATTAGTAAGGATACTGGAGCGCAAGTTTTTGCTGGTACTGAGGCAAGGCCTGCTATAGCATTCCCTCCTGTGGTTACAGCACAATGGGAGGAACAGGTACTTCCTCAGTACTGTAATTTTAATTCAAACTTTTTAGTTTATATTATTCAATAATCCAAGTGTCTATAACCAATGAATTCTTTTGGTTGTTCCAGCTAAGACGTCTTTATCTACTCCTGACGGTGAGGGAATCAGCCATTGATGTTCCAACAAATAGTGAAGTACGCAGAAGGATTGCATTCTTTACAAATTCATTGTTCATGGATATGCCGCGTGCCCCCCGTGTTCGTAAAATGCTCTCATTCAGGTTTGGTACAGCTCCTTGATTCACAGCCATGAACATAACATGCCATAATGCCATGTTATCCTTTCTAGAAAATATAAACTGCAGGACTGTAATTTTATTTGTACACTAATAAAGTTATATCCATCAGTGTTGTTTGATTTTTTTCTCTTTAAATTGTTTCACTTGTAATTTTATTAGACAGAGTACTTTTTATTTTTTATTTTATTTTTCTGTCGAGGATTTTCTTATGCGGAAGTTTCAAAATGTAATGTATCAAGAAGCTGTCCTGTGCATATTATGAACAACCCTTTTCTTCTTCTTTTCAGTGTCCTAACTCCATACTACAGTGAAGAGACTGTGTATTCTAAGAATGACATTGAGGTTGAAAATGAAGACGGTGTGTCAATCATATATTATTTGCAAAAGATCTTCCCTGGTTTGTATTAACTCACACAGCATAGCTTTATTGACTGTATAATGACAATATAGAACAGACTGGCTGAAATTTAATAACTTTTCCAGATGAATGGAATAACTTCATGGAGCGACTTGATTGTAAGAAAGATAGCGAAATATGGGAAAAAGATGAGAATGTATTGCAACTACGTCACTGGGCCTCATTAAGAGGACAAACTCTTTGCAGGACAGGTATATGATGACTCCCTTTCCCCGCTCCTCTGGCTGGATTTTGTTGATTTATATTTTTACTCTTATTTACAAATTAATGTAGTTAGGGGAATAATGTACTACCGGAGGGCGTTAAAGCTCCAGGCATTTCTTGATATGGCTTGTGAAAAAGGTAAGACTAAGTTGCTTTTATTCTATGAGATTTTTAGCTAAATGTTAAGGTACCATTGAAGGCATCTAATTTATAGTTTTTTGCAAACCTTGGGGCCTTTGTCGTTTCTTTTTTGTACACACCTTCAACAAACATTTCCCTGCTTATCTGCAATCAAGTAAAAAGACCTGTTGTATTCATTATTATGGCTCAAAAGGGTAGTTATTGTCCAAGATGATTGCTTTTTATGTTTTAATTTTTGGTTTTTGTGTAGAGATCCTCAATGGATATAAAGCTATTACACTTCCATCTGAGGAAGACAAAAAGAGCCAGAGGTCCCTATATGCCAATTTAGAGGCTATGGCTGACATGAAATTCACTTATGTTGCTACCTGTCAGAATTATGGGAATCAGAAGCGTAGCGGAGACCGCCGTGCAACAGATATCTTGAATTTGATGGTCAAGTATGTTCTTCTGTTAAATTAATTTGTATATTTCAAGTCAATGTAGATTTGACTTTTAGTTTCCCGTGTTTACTTGATTGATGAATCTAATTTTTAGTTCTCTATATTTATAGCAATCCCTCACTCCGTGTTGCATATATTGACGAAGTTGAAGAAAGAGAAGGTGGAAAAGTGCAAAAAGTTTATTATTCTGTATTGATCAAAGCGGTGGACAATCGCGACCAAGTAAATGCATATTGATGTCTGATAAGTAGTTAATTCCTAATTACTGCCTTAGAAATAATTGATTTTGTATCTTCTCTGAAGGAAATATTTCGAATAAAACTTCCGGGTCCAGCAAAAGTAGGAGAAGGGAAGCCTGAAAACCAGAATCATGCACTTATTTTTACTAGAGGGGAAGCCCTTCAGACAATCGACATGAACCAGGTAAAGTATATATTGAAACCTTATCAAGTTGACAATGGATGTTTGATCCAAAAAAAAAAGTTGACAATGGATATCAGTGCAAATAGAGATGATGTATTTGGAAAAAAATTCTAGGACAATTACTTGGAAGAAGCATTAAAAATGCGTAACCTTCTGGAAGAGTTTAATGAGGATCATGGAGTGCGCTCGCCTACCATATTAGGTGTTCGTGAGCATATCTTTACTGGCAGGTTATGATTTTATTCTACCTAGAGCTAACACTGTCAAGTTTAGAGCCTATATTACTTAATTTTATCACTTGTTACAGTGTCTCTTCCTTGGCTTGGTTTATGTCAAATCAAGAAACTAGCTTTGTCACAATTGGTCAGAGAGTTCTTGCAAGACCATTAAAGTAAGCTTTTGTTTGTTTTCTCTGTTTTTATTACACGGTTAACCATGCAGTGCCTGTTTATCTTGTATGTTAAACTAGGAACCACCTGAGAAACACTTGGCTAATATAAGACCTCTGCCCAAATTAAAGCAGTGTTTTTAAAATTTAAGAGTATGGTGCATGCTGGATGTTTAAAATTCAAAACTTGTTTCAAAGGCTTACATATTCAATTTCAAATCATAGCTGTTCTAGTTTCTCTTGCTGATGATTTTTTTTACTTTCTACCCCTCTTATTTGATTTTCTTCAAGTGTCATTTCCCTTGCTATTAAGTTTTTTTGGTGACAATAATAACTATTAGGCTTTTCTTTTTTCTATCCTCAGCCATTTTTGCGAGAAAAAACTGAAACATATATATATATATATATATATATATATATATATATATATATATATATATATATATATATATATATAATCAAATTATATATTCTGGCTTATGAACTATGATAGTTTTTTTCAATTGTAGGGTTCGATTCCATTATGGTCACCCGGATGTTTTTGATAGAATTTTTCATTTAACCCGAGGAGGAATCAGCAAGGCTTCTTGTGGCATCAATCTGAGCGAGGATATATTTGCTGGTAATAGTTTGATACATATTTTTAGCATTAATATTGGATAGTTATTTCTCTGCATCATATGCCCTTTCTTATTCAGGATTCAACTCAACATTAAGACGTGGGAATATTACTCATCATGAGTATATCCAAATTGGAAAGGGTAGGGATGTCGGGCTCAATCAAATCTCTCTTTTTGAAGCAAAAGTGGCCTGTGGTAATGGAGAGCAGACACTAAGCAGGGATATCTACCGGTTGGGGCATCGATTTGACTTTTTCCGCATGCTATCGTTCTATTTTACAACCGTTGGATTTTATATCAGCTCAATGGTAATCATCAAGTAAAAAATATATTTTTTATATAAAAGCAATACTTGTTTTTAGGAAATTTTGTTGCTGAAATTTAACCTAATGGTGTGTTTAAATTAAAATTAAGAATAACGGGTATGGAAATTATTTTTGATTCATTAAACACTAAGATGACCTTCCAATTTGTGAGTTTGCCTAGGCTTTTTGACTGAATTAGCCAGGAGTTTTGCTCTCTTACTGTTTACAGTGTCATATTTTGTTAAAAACAATTTATAAAGAAAGCTTCAAAAAAAAATTGATTTAAATGGTTTCTTTGTAAACGTTACGTATTTCATCATTTTATTATATTTTATTTTTGATATCAAGATTTCAAACATCAAAATTTCAAAAAATCACTTAAATT